TGCACTCCTGCCTGGGTGACAAAGTGACCTTGTCTCAAAAAACAAAAAAAAACCAAAAAAAAAAAACTAAAAAACACCTGGTATTGGAAGAGATCATTTTAGTTTAGAAAGTAGGAAGTTTCTTGATAGAGTTGGTCTGGTTGTGTTCATTCCTCAAAGGCAAGATTGTAAACTGTTTCTGCCTACTTTGGAAGAGTCAGAGGGTTTGTTTTGTGGCTCTTTAGGGTATTTTATCATGTTGGTGGTTTTGTATTCTTTAGGAAATTCCTGTACTTAAAAATGCTGCCTTACAGAATTAATTTCCTTTAAGGACTTAACTCTTGGATATTTCCCCTTAATTCCTCTGTTCTCAGAGTGCTTGCCATTGTTATTAAATGCCAGATTTTTAGAGCTGATAGGGCCTTTAGAAACAGAGTAAGAGAGGAGAGTTTGGAAATCATATAGTTCAACTATTTGTCTTCATAGGTAAGGAAACAGACCCCACGAGGTGCAGTGCCCAGGGCCTGCAGTTGATGAGTTAGGGCTAGAACCCACGTCCCTGTTGAGTACTTTGCTCTTCGTGGTGTGATTCTGCCCTCTGTCCTAGTGCTCAGATGATGTTCTATACTTAGCAGGGGCACTGGAGACTGAGCTCCAAACCATTTATTACTAAAGTGTATGTTTACCAAGTCCTTTTTGGTTCTGTTATTTATTCCTGTACTCAACTAAGCCAAATCTAGATTTAATTGAAAACTGTATAGACACTGTTAATTCCAAGTGTGCTCTTCAGGCCATGTCCAATGAGGGAGGCACCTTAGTCTTTCAGAGACCATTTTGATAAACATTTAAAGCTTACCATAGTTATTTTTTTGACTTAATACCTTTAAATGCCCCGTGGCATCCGATTGTTGAAGCGTAATGCCCTGTAGGATTCCCATTTCGTTTAGGTTGAGATCTGCCATTCCCCAGCACTCAGGTGAGCTGATTGAGCTGTTCTCCAACTAACCTATTTTAGGACACAAGCTATTTGTTAAACAAGCCAAGTATGTGAATATGTCACTGTTCAGGCGCTAGTCTCAGTGGCCCCCCATCTCCCTTAGAATAAAAGCCAACGTCCCTAAAAGGGCCCCGAATGCTGATCACCTCTGTGACATCACTTCTCATTTTCTGCACTTTCTCAAATCCCTTCAGTTTCAGGAAAAAACTTCAGAGCATCAGGCAGGCTCTTAATGTACTTTGCACTTGGCTGTTCCCGCTATAGAGACCTTCTCCTCTCCTCTTGGTACCAGGTGGCTCCTCGTTCACCTCCTTCAAAGCAACTCACCTTCTCAGCAAGTCCCTTACTGACCATCTCATTTAAAACTGCCACCCCGCCCCAACCTTTCCATTTCTGTTCCCCTCCTCTGCTGTGTTTTTCTCTATAATGCTGGTGACCTTCTAATGTAGGACTTATTTTTTCTAAAGACCTCTCCTTACAGGTATTTCCCCTTAAGTTCTGTGTTCTCAGAGTTCTTTGAGTATTGGTTTTAGTTTATTTAAATGAAAACTTCCCAGTGCTTCTCATCTGTAGCCAGCATTGGGAACTTTTGCCATAGACGTGCTTCATTAAGTGTTAGTTTTGAGAGTTCTCACAAAGGCAGAATTTAAGTATCAAGAACATATTTTTAATTCTTAATAGTAGCTTCAAGCAATGTTTTTCATATAGTAGGACCATTCTCTTGCATTAAACCACATAGTGGCTCAGCATTGTTCCCTCCTCATCAGAAAGCTTCCCTGCAGTAGTGATAGCAGCATGTTCCTGTATATAACTGATCTTGAGGACCATGCACCTTATAACCTGAGGTTCCTCTGATTTTAGGGGGAGGATAATGAATTTGTATTATTTGAACAAGAGTGTTAAGATATGAGTTTTCAAATAAAATGGTTAGTTTTACTGACTTTTTCTTAAAATAGTGCAGCACTAGTTAATGTTTGTATAATTAAGTCTATTTTAGAATATTTGATTCTATGTATAACTTTTTTTTTGGAAATGGAGTCTAGCTCTGGCGTCCAGGCTGGAGTGCAGTGACATGATCTGCAGAGGCTCACTGCAGCCTCCACCTGCCAGGTTCAAGCAATTCTCCTGCCTCAGCCTCCTGAGTAGCTGGGACTATAGGTGTGCCACCACATGCCCGGCTAATTTTTGTATTTTCCATACAGATGGGGTTTCACCATGTTGGCCAGGCTGGTGTCAAACTCCTGACGTCAAGTAATCCGCCTGTTTTAGGATTCCAAAGTGTTGGGATTTCAGGCGAGAGCCACTGTGCCCAGCTGATACTATGTATAACTTTTTATTTGAAAGTTTTTTTACTCTCAACTATTAAAATTACACATTGTAGAAATGTCAGAGAGCCAAAAGTGCAAGTAGAAATAATGGGAGAATCTCTCAAAGATGACAGCCATCGACACCTGTTTTCTAACCTTTTCCTATTGCTGTGGTCCTAGTTCTGTTCAGGTGTGATGAGATTTGAACAGTGCAGTGGAGAAAATCCTACCACCACTAAGAATTCTGCACTGTTAACATTTGTACTTACTTTCAGTTTCTTATTTATGTGCATATGTTTTAAACAGAGCAAATAATATACAAGCACATTGTCCCTTTTTAAAAGGAATATATTAATAGTGTAAAAAAATAATATACAAGCACATTGTCCCTTTTTAAAATGAATATATTAATAGTGTTACATAAAGTCTTTTTTTTGTTTTTTTTGAGACAGCTTCGCTCTGTCGCCCAGGCTGGAATGCAGTGGCGCTATCTCGGCTCACTGAAACCTCCGCCTCCTGGGTTCAAGTGATTCTCCTGCCTCGGCCTCCTGAGTAGCTGGGACTACAGGCACATGCCACCACCCCCGGCTAATTTTTGTTTTCTTTTTACTAGAGACGGGGTTTCACCATGTTGGCTAAGCCGATTTTGAACTCCTGACCTCAGGTGATCCACCCACCTTGGCTTCCCAAAGTGCTGGGATTACATGCGTGAGCCACCATGCCCGGCCAGATAAAGTCATTTTTAACCACTGTTTCCCGTTCTGTTCCCTATTCCCATCATGACCCCAGCCCTGGTGCCCTAACTGAAACCATTACTTTTGCAAATTTGGTACATGTTGGTTCAGTACAGTTTTCCTATACTTGTTACCATGGAGAATAGGTAGTATTGCTTTGTTTTAGTTTATTAAATAACCTCAGGCTGTAAATATAACATCCTGCAACTTAAAAACACAAACCTTAGCTTTAGATGTATACAAGTTGGTACACATTGATCTACTTCATTACCCTTGGCTATGTAGGACTCAAGTAGATGGAGGTACTCCCCTTTATCCAACCCTATCCATTGACAGGGTTGAATTTGACTCTTGGCTTTTATAAATAATACTGCAACAAATACTCTCATGGGTCATCTGGGACATGTGTATTAGTATTTTTCTAAAGTTATATAGAATTTTTTTACCCTAATTTTTCTCCTCTTAATACCAAGACATGAACATTTCCCATTATTAAAATGTCTTCATAAACCACATGCTTCTTAAATCTAGACTAATTTTCTTAATGAAAAATTAATATTGGACACAAAGCCTTTTTTTCATCAGAGTAACTTAAATATCACATGGGCCCTCTTGATTGTGGTAGATAGAACATTATGCTGTTTCAACACAGAGCATTTAAAAACAAAAGCTAAAAGTGTGAGTGACTAGAGTGGTCTAAGACTGGACTACTTGGACTTGGTATTCTTATCTCCTGTTTTCTAACTCAGGGGAAGTTTCTCAGGTTTTTGGAGACAATCTCTGTAGCACCTCACTTGAGGCTCCTCCAGTGCCATTTCTCTGCATCTTTCCTGACTTCCTGTTTTATTCCCCCTACTGTGTCAATACTTTATTCAGATTGCAGTTATTTATTGGTGTCTCTTGTCCCACTGCCACAGTGACCTCCTCAAGAATAGTGAACTGTCTTATTTTTGTACCCTGTCCAAGCACAATGCCTGCAGTGTAGGCATTGTGAATGCCAAGCTGAATGAATGAGAGAGAGACTATGGGGATGGGGGTGAGGGAGGGTGGGGGTCGGAGATAGTGGTGGTGATACTCACCCTAATAAGGAACTTCAGATACTGAAAGTGTGGAACAGAATGAGAGTCCTAAAAGGAAATGAAGTGATAGGGATGACAAAATGACACCTTTGACAATGGATCTCTGCTTTAGAATATTGCCATTTGCATATATACTGACTGATTGAATCTCTGGTTTTATTAATTTCTCCTTGAAGTTTAAATGGCCATATAACTATTAAAGTGTGTACCTGGTTTGCTAGGAAAAGTTTTAAAAACTTAAACCTCCAACAGATACAGCCAACTTAGAGGTTGTTTTTTTTTTTTTTAAAATAAACTCCTTGCTTCATTTCTTGGTTGCCCCAATTTTAATCAAAACTGGGTTTCCCTGAATGAGTGGACTAATGTTAAAGGAAATATTTTGGTCACTGTTCTTATGAAATCCTTTGTGGTTTGAAGTGGTATTCCTTTAGCATTTCAACAGTTTCATTCATGTTCCGCGCACAGTGTAGCCAAGTGATACCAGTAAGTGAGCTTCAGAAGGAGAAGTTCAAATGCAGAACCTCCAGATTTAGAGCTTGAACAATAAAACTTCTGGGAGGGAGAGTCAGACTTTTATCATGACACTGGTTATGAACCATTTAGTAGTATAATTTATCTTTGGGCAGTATCTTCATAGCTCAGAAAACAGTTGCTTTAATGATTATTTTGTATAAGAAGCTGCATTTCTCCCAGCTTGCTTTTTTTGTTAATAGAATGCCGATGTATTCTAAGTAATTGGAGCTATCAGGAGAATATAATGTTTATCAGTAACCAAAGATCTATGGTTGAAAGTAGTGATTTATAAGTATTAGAAATACTGAAATTGTTTCCAGTACTGAAATACTTTTAAAAACTAATTGTTCTCTGGATACTTTTTGCTGCTAATTAACATCTCTTTTTACAGGATTCATGAATAAAATTTTCCATCCCAACATTGATGAAGCGTAAGTAACTATTTTAAAATGTTTAAATTTTAGCAGCAACTGCTCTTAATTAGCGTTTCTCTCTCTGTTATAAAAAGCCTCAGTTATCGTTTTGGACCTTATCAGGAGTTAGGACTGTATGAATGGTCATGTAAATGATAGAATCCAAAGGATATGAGGTCCTCAATACCTTAGTTCACATTCTGCTATTGTACCACTTAGTCTTTTCCATTGTCGTGACTGGGTCCTTCATTTTTCTTGTTATCCAGCAAACAGTAGTAATATTCCGCATCTCAATTCTCTTTGTGTAGACACAATTCAGAGATGTGTTTTCAGTCTACGGATTGACTGTTTTCAGACCTTATAGTATTTTCTCGATTCTTGAGAGTAAGGCAAAATGACTGTAGATTCAGTTAATGAATCTTATTTATTCCTTTCTTTCCTTCTAATATTTTATTAATGATACTTTAAAATATTCCAGCATATCCTGTTTTATACTTCTAGTGCTGTTTAGAATGTATTATTATTTGGGACGCGGTTTTAATTTGTCATGGCACTAAGTTTTGCTGTCTCTCACAAGCATATCTAACAGGTTTTTCTGAACCCTGTGTGAGTAGGTTGTATATATACATACATCATGCCCCTTAGTCCTTTAATATTATTACTTTGTTGTATCAGTTATCCTAACAAGGATATTCTCTTATCTGTCCACAGTATATAGTTGTCAGATTCAGGAATTTAACATTAATGCAACACTTTTTATTTAATCTACTGCCATACTCCAGTAACTTACTTTTTAGCACTTTTTTCTTTCAGTAAAGGATCCAGTCTAGAATCACACATTACATTTAGTTGTCAGGTTTCTTTAAACTACTTTAATCAGGATTAGTTCCTCAGCCTGCTTTTTTCTTTTATAAAATTCACATTTTAAAATAATATAAACCCATTATTTTATAGATTGTTCCTCAATTTGGGTTTGTCTGATGTTTCCTGTTCATTAGATTCAGAGCATGAACACGCTTAAGGCCAGAAAACTACAAAGTAAGATTGTATCTTTCTTGGGGTATCACATTCAGAGACATACAAGGTCTGTCTGCCCCTTGTGTTCTCAGCACCTGGTTCAGGTGTTGTCTGGTTTCTCCATTGTATAGTTATTATTTTCCCCTTTCAGTCTGTAAGGTGACACTTTAAGACTTTGTACTATTCTGTTTCTCATCATAGTTTTCCCCAATTGGGATTCTTTTTTTCACAGATCTATTAAAAGTATTTCTCTTGATAAGTAAAATTAGTTGCCAGATACAACTTTCTAATTTTTAAAAACATGCCATTCTTTCCATCTGTTTCAGGTCAGGAACTGTGTGTCTAGATGTAATTAATCAAACTTGGACAGCTCTCTATGGTGAGTTTGGCCATGGAATATTTTTTTTGGAGATGTTGAGACATTGCCTTAAAAAATGTTATTTGGCTTTTCTTTTCTGGTTTAAGATGTTTTGTTGGTAATGGGAAGGGATTTTTGAGGGACCGACTGGGAAAGTTTGATCAGTGGAAAAAATATTTTCTCTTAAGTACAAATATATCAGTTTAGCTGTGGAAATTTAAAATGATTTTGTGAGATTCCAAACTTAAGGTATAGTGATACAGGTGCGCACACACGAATACGTGTGCAAACATATGTATGTATTAGAAGCACATAATATATGTATTTTAGTTTTAGAAAAAACTAAAACTACTTAGGAATGTCCCTCTGAAATGAGAGAGAAATGATATAGTAAGAGGTTTTAGGGGATCATCTTTTCAAAGGCCCAAACTTCCTTATGAAGGAAGAGTAATTTAGCCTTACCTTCAGTGCTGAAATTGACACCCCATCTCCTACAGGGAATCAACAAATGAATTGCCCAGCTCTGCAAAGTACTATGCTGAATATCACAGAGAGTTATAAAGAGCATCAGGCCTTTCCTCCTTATCACCTGGTTGGGGAGCTGAAAATATTTTAAAATATAGTCGTCCCTTGGTATCTGCAGGGGATCAGTTCCCAGACCACCAGCAGATACCAAAATTCGTGCTTACTCAAGTCCCACACTCATCCCTGCAAAACCTGCTGACATGGAGGGCTAGCTGTATTTATTGAAAACCACATGTGAGTGGACCCATGCAGTTCAAACTGTGCATGGACCCATGTTGTTCAAGGGTCAGTTGTATATTTGAAGTTAATTAGGGATACAACAAATAAATTTATTTTTCCCTCCACTTGTCCAAATCTCAGGCTTCGTAGAGTCTCCCTACTCCAGTGCTCCTACCCCATGTACTTCTGCTGCTTCTCCAGCTGGAAGTAATCTCTGGATACTGTTACATTTTCTAGCTCCTTTTTTTATGGCCCACTTTCACTTTCTACTGTGTATTTGTTGTTTATGCCTATTTTTTTGTGCTACTAGATTATTTCCTATCTTAAGGGCTATCAGGTGTATGTCTGATTCATCTGGAAGGCCCAGGATTCTTATCACAGTGCCCTTCACCAATATGGGTTGAAAGAATGAATGGTACAGGTAACAGTTGCTGAGAGGCACAAGAAAAGAAGGGAAAGCTCAGTTGAGGCTGAGCTTAACCGGGGATGGCTGCTTCTTGTTGAAGACTTGTGTGACCTTTTAATGGTCTGAGGTAGATAAGACTTCTTAGTCCAGCCACAATTTGCAAGTTACCTTTGCCAGATATCCTTGAACTATGTTGGTAAATGAGAATCACAGAGAAAGGTTGGTCAGCAGCAGAACACAGTTAATCCCTGCCTCCACCTGATTGTGCCATTCAAAAATTATTTTCTCTACCTGGAATGTTCTCCCCTGATCTTTGTGTGGTTGGCACCTTCTTCACTCATCTCACATATCACTTCCTCAGAGCAGTTTCCTTTCCCAGCCATTCCATCTGAAATGACACCCCTCTATAGCACAGCACCCTGTTGTATGTATTTTTTTTAATTTTAAAATTGTTTTTTAATGCATAGAAACAGAGTTGCACTCTGTTGCCCAGGCTGGAATGCAGTGGTGTGATAATAGCTCACTGCAGCCTTGAACTCCTGGGCTCATGATCCTCCCACCTCAGCCTCCCCAGTAGCTGGGACTATAGGAGCATACTACCAGGCCTGGCTAGTGCCCCATTTTCAGTAAGCTTCTGAAACTGGTATTTGTTTATTGGTATTTGTTTATTGTTTATCTTATCCCCTTGGATTGTAAGCACGACAAGTAGGGACTTCGTCTTGTTCTTGTCTTTCTCTCTCTCCACGCACATGCGACTATAACAGTGCCTGGTGCACAATAAGGGTTCGACTGTTTGTTGTCTTAATGGGTGAATTAATCATGTCCAGTACTGTTTAACAAGAGAGTTTTAGGGGAGATGGTGGCATCTAGTTGAGGCAACAAGAAAGAACATACACTCTGAGCTTGATTAAATGGATTCATTTTAAGATTTTTTTTGGTAAAAATGTCTCATGGCAGGCTGCCTGGAATATCTGATGTAATGATGTGTTTTCTTAAACTACATTCACATTTTAGAAGTGTACATATCAAAATACTGCAAGCTGGTTCCAATTACAATGAAGTAAATTGATGTTTAGTTTTGCTAAAGCTTTTACCATTGACCAGGAAAGCTTTGTGGAAGATGTTTGCTGACTGTCAAGTGCCTCATGTCTCAGAACAGATTTTTTTTAAAAAAAATAACAGTTTCACTGAATTCACAGACATGCAACTCACCCATTTAAAGTATGTAATTCAGTAGTTTTTAATATATTCAGTTATATGCAGCCATCACCACAGTCAATTTTAGAACATTTTCATCACCTCAAAAATAAACGTGTACCCTTTAACTATTCCCTACCTACCCCCCAGCCCTAGGCGACCACAAATCTGCTTTTTGTTTCTGTGGATTTGCCTGTTCTGGACACTTCTTAGAAATGTAATTATATAATATGTGGTCTTTTGTGACTGGTTTTTTTCACTTTGCATAATGTTTTCAAGGATGATCCGTGTTGCATGTATCAGAATTTCTTAAGGCTGAATAATATTTCATTGTATAGATAAACCACATTATTTGTCAGATAATAGACATTTGGGTTGTTTCTGTCTTTTGGCTGTTATGAGTATTATAAATATTTGTGGACAAGTTTTTATGTAGACATGTTTGCATTTCTCTTGGGTATATAGGAGTGAAATTGCTGGATAATATGTGTAACTATTTGAGGACTGATAGACTACTTTCTAAAGTGGCCAACATGAGTAAGTTTTCATCACATTTATAAAATGTTAGCGTATGTTCTTATATTAACTTGCAAAGCATTTAATAAGCTGCAAGAGTTAAACCACGTTGGTCCAAGTGAACTGAAAGCAGACTTCTGTGTTACATGTGTATGAGTTATTGAACGTGTTCCATAATACAGGTGTGTGGGCACACTAACAGGTAAGTGCAGGAAAACAAGAAGAAATATTTTCAGAGTATACTCAAAAGTATACTGAGCATGGGAGAATTGTTTTGACATTTTGCTCAAAACTATTTCTCAAGAAAATTCAACATTTCTTTCATGGAAAGTTTTAGGAACAGGTAAATACAATTATATAAAGTACCAGTAGAATATGTTCGTTCGGATGACCTTCAAGTATTTTTTCAGACTTATCTGATCTTGAGATCTGAACTGAATTTTTATTACAAACTGTTAAAGCCTCTGGCATTGAAGGTTAGTTCATAATTGGTGAGTTCTGAATCACTTCATTTCCTGCAGTGGTTCCTGAGAGAATCTGAGTTCAAAGGACCGCCCCCACCAACCCCTGCCCCGCCAAAAAAAAAAACTAACACTACATAACTAATAGGAGAAAGTTGGCATGTCAACATAAATATTCAACTGAAAAACAAAAGGCTAAGCCTGGCACCTAAAACTTGTTTCAACACTTTCCTCTGCTGTAGATTTGATGAGGGAGCAGGGAGTGGATTGTGAAATTTCCTGCCCTTTACCTTGCCCCAGGGCATTACTGTGCTGTGGGTTATACATATTTGTAGCATAACAGCAATTCACAGTTGAAATTTCAGGTTTATGTTAATCATAGCCTAATATTAAACTGCATTCATGTTAGCAGTAAATTTAGTCCTCTGTCCCCTCACACCCCTCCCCGTCGTTGATTTCTGGTAAGCCAGTTGACTCATTGCTTCTGTTCTTACCCTGTTTTCTCTTTGCCAAGTGTATGTGCAATTTGTTTATTCAGAGTTCAAAATTGGTATAATTGTGGTTTACTCACCCAGTAATTTTTAATTTTATATTATTTAACCTTACAAGAGAGCTAATTATAGTGAGGAATTGGATTAATTTTGTAAAGATGCTTGTCATCAGTATGAAGTTATCAAGTCTGAAGTTATCTATTGTTATTCTTATGACATTAAACAGAAAGTAGCAGATGACCAAATTGATTGATTTTGGCTTCCTGCATGATAGCATCTTTTTTTTTGCATCCCTTCCTGCTCTTCCAGACAGCAGTGACAGAAGCTCTGAGAAACATAAAATGTAGCCAAGGGGATCTGGATTTCCATTTCAAAACAAATTAATTTTAAGAACTGATAGGAGAGTTCATTAAGCCACAGGTAGCTTTTTAAGCACTCTTCTATTTTCCAGTTTTCCTTTTTTTCTCCAAAATATATTTTATCCGTAGTTGGCTTATCACCCTGCACTCCTGGGGGCTCAGGTGCCTTCACTGCAATACAGCTTTAATCTCTCTCTCATCCCACCCTTCTGGACAAGGCATGCTTGATCCCTGCAAATGTGTTTCTCTCTCCAACTTTCGTTTTATTCTTTCTTTTACTTGGTAAATTATGTATATGATGGATTAAGTTGTAGGCTGGGCACAGTGGCTGACACCTGTAATCCCAGCACTTTGGGTGGCTGAGGCAGGCGGATCACCTTAGGTCGGGAGTTAGAGACCAGCCACGACCAACATGGAGAAACCCCGTGTATTTCTACTAAAAATACAAAATTAGCTGGGCATGGTGGTGCATGCCTGTAGTCTCAGCTACTCGGGAGGCTGAGGCAGGAGAATCGCTTGAATCGCTTGAACCCGCGAGGCGGAGGTTGCTGTGAGCCCAGATTGCACCATTTCACTCCAGCCTGGGCAATAAGAGTGAAACTCCATCTCAAAAATACAAAAAAAAAAAAAAAAAAAAAAAAAAGTTGTGGAGAAGTGAGGTGGAAGACAATTTTCTTATGAAATTGGGCAGTTTACATTTTCACCCTTAGGGTTGCTAGCCAGTGGACTGGATACTTGTACTCTTATTTTGCTGGGCAGAAAAATCAACATTTGGGAGAAGTCTTCCCCTAGAGTTATCTGGGGAGTTAGTAACAGGCAAATTAAATTGACTACAACAGAAGGGAAT